GGCATACACGGGCACCCGCGCACTGACGTGGACACGCACACGCTGGGCCGGGCACACACGGACACACACGCACAGACACGGATGTGCACACGCTGAGCCGGGCACACACGGACACACACACAGAGAAATGGACGCGCACACGCCAAGCCGTGCCTGTATCGCACCCACCTGCGCTATTGCCCTGCTCCGACACATCCGTGCCGTCGTCCCGACACAGACAGGAACTGCCCTGACTGCTCTTCCCCGGCCCCAGAGCAGTTCTCCTGGGTCCCCTCCAGCCACGCACCCACCTCGCCACCCTGCCCCACCCTACGAGAGCCGGACAGCTGTTCCTGGACTAGGGGTTCAGCCCCTGGCTCTGCCACTGAGCTTCTGTGTGACCTTGGGCAACTCCCTTGGTTGCTACTCCATGGGGTGGGGGATGAGGGGAGAGCTGTTCTTCACGGGGGGGAGGCGTGAGAACGAGTGATCCTGAAAAGGAAGAGGAAGCTCACAGCAACACTCTCCCCCAGGTGCCCCCTGGTCACAGCCACCCCAATTTTCTCTCCAGCCCCACCCTGCCCCCTAGGTCCTGCCAGCTGAAGCTACAGCAGAACCAAGCCAATCCTGCCTGCCCATTCCAGGTAGGGCAAGCACCCACCCCACCAACCATCCAGTGCGAGCGCTAACCACTGGGCCACACAGCCTGGCTCACAAAGTGGGCCTGTGCCCAAGGGCTACTGGCCCTGCTAACGCCCTCCCTCTGCACTGGTTTGCCCCCGCCCACCTGGGTTATTAACCTCTCCCCGCCCAGCATGCCTGGTTCCTCGGTGTCTTTGGCTGAGGCCCCCTGCAAATGCCACCAGGGAGCTATGGCCCCCCAGCCATGCCGAGGCTGCGTGCAGGGAGAGGTCTGGGGACCGCCCGCCCGCCACGCTGCTGCCATGGAGGAAACCCCACATGCCGCATCACCGACTTCTGGAGAGCAACCCTGCCGGCTGCTCTGGCCCTGTGCTGGCACGAGGCTACAGCTGCCTCCCCCCCACACACACACACGCACACAAACATGCCTAGATCCTGACTGTGAGCAGGGCCAGGGGGCACCTGGCTGGCTGCAGCCAGCTGGCCTTTGCCTCCCCAGCCAGCTGCTGGGCTGGTGTGGGTGGCAGCGAGGATCCGTGCCAACACTAACACCCAGGGACGCCGTGTGGCCAGGCTGGGCGGCCGCAGTCATTATCAAGTCCAAGCACAAATAAAGAGACCCACAGAACCACCCTCGCCCAGCCCTCTGTGCCGCAAGCCAGCCGCCTGCCCTGCCCGGGCATACACGGACACACATGCACAGACGTGGATACACAAACGCTGGACCGGGCACACACAGACACACACGCACAGACATGGACGCACACATGCTGAGCCGGGCACACATGGACACACACACACAGACACGGATGTGCACACGCTGAGCCGGGCA